GTGGTGTCAGTGGTGTAGCTTCCCGCTTTGCTGAATATTAGTGATATCACTTGTAGTAGGAGAGTTAGAAACATTAGATTCCATCTTAAAGGATAATAAAACTTTTCACTTCCATGTTAATGAAATGATCTTCTTTACGTTTCAGAAAGCAAAAACTGCTCATAGTAATTAGAGGTTACAGAGTCACGTTAATGGTTCTCAACCTTTTTCGTTTCTAGATCCCTAAAATTTTGGAATTGTGGTGCAGACCCCGTTGGAAATCTTAGATATTGTCTGTGGACCCTCTGGGGTCTGTGCACCACAATTTGAGAATCACTGATCTCCACCAGTGCACAATTTTTCCCTTCAGTATAGTCTACCATGTTAAATTCCCTGGAACAGTGGGGTTCTCACCTCATCATTTTCCTCAGGAAGCTATTCTAGTGGATCTCAGTGTTGGGAAGTGACTTTTTGGTAATCAATATACATTTTTTTTTAATTTATTTGCGTTTAGGCAGCTTGCAACCCTTGGCAAAGCTTACCACTCCTGCATTTCAAACAGTTCCTTGCTGCCCGAAAGAGTTAGATCCTGGATGATTTATTCTCTGAGTGGGCAGGTCCCCAAAGTTTCCTCTAGCAAATTCAAGAAAATTGCTTGATTAGTAAATCTTCATATAGTATGGTCTAGAAAGGATGCAGTATAACTGAATAGCTGTAGGCCACTCCCTCTTTTACCGCCATAAAAACTGTGGCTGAATATTCTGGTGTTGTCCTGAACTGGTATTTTGTCCCAGTTCCCTGTAGGTGGTCTGTTAGACTTTTGAGGTTTGTATTCTAATCTACTGAGTGCTGAAACTAGTGATCTCAAACTGGACATGACAGTATTGCCTGGACTCCTCCTCATAGTAGTAATTATGAGATGTTCCTAATGAGTTAAGGATAAACAGATGTTTGAGAGTTTTTAAATAGACACTTTCTAGTAGTTTAGTCTCCAAATTTGACCTATTTTTATTTAAATGATCATTTTCAGTGATGATGAAAATCTTCAGAATTCAAATGTAATCTATTCTTTTAAAATCACCTCAACAAAGAAACCAAACCCTCTTGAATGAGAAACACAAACTTATCTGGATCCTAGCAGATAACAAGGATAGTGTGTCTCCTTTTCAAATAGGACTTAGCAGCAGACATAGAATTTATGTTGGCACTAAAAAAGTGTGAAGCTTTTGTAACACAATCAAGGAAAATTTATCAAGTTTGGTTTTATGCACATATCTGATTTGATCAGGTTCAGAAATCTGAGATTTTTTTTCATTTTCTTTCACAATGCTGTGCCAATATAGGAGGATAGGTTGAAGCGGTACAAAACATGATATTTCACTGAATTTTCCTTTGAGTTGGACTTTTGAAAGAAAACATGAAGCAAAACTAAAAAAGGGGCTGCTGAAACCTCTGCAGCCCAAAACTGATTTGTTTGTGCAGCTCAAGTTGACATAGTTTGCAGTATTATTGGTGCATAAACACAGCTGTTTTGGATGATGAAATGTATGATGGGGTTGTGGTGAATTTTTGTTTATATAATAAGACCATCTACATTTCAACTGCTTACTAATCCCAGAAGGGATTCAGTTTTGCTGAATTAAAATAAGATCATCATCTGGCAAGTCTAATTTTAGTTTCTTGCATTTTAAAGAGGGTACAATGAACAATAAACAGTAGCAAAAGCGATGAAAATAACTCTTCACCCTCTCCTTCCTAAGCTTTGTTTGGAATGTATTTTTACACATAGGAATGATGACAAATATATTAAGGAAGCTCTTCCCAGGCTTTCTAATGTCTAGTTGGTTTGAGCTCTATTAGGAAGGCTGTTGCTGTAAAGATAGACAGTGTGGGAGTGAGTCAGAACAGGATTTCCTTTAAGCTCGCTCTCTTCAGTTAGCCAATTAGAGTCACTAGAGTCTGTCTCAAGCTTTAATATTGGCTAAAGAGATGGGGACGAGTAATGGGCTGTGTTGCGAGGAAGCACAACTCTGATTCAATAGCTCAACCAAGGTCAGTAGGTAGAAGGTATTTAAGATGAAAAGAGTATTGGCAGTTGAAAGGCAGAACCTAGCCATCAAACAGAGAGAGGGTGAGAACCAAGGTGACTTTCCTAGAAGACAAGTGTAATCAAAGGGCCTGTAAGACTGACTTTTTTTCTCTTTTCAAAATAGGTATTCTAATTAAACAGGTTTACTATTTCCTGCTATGTAACGTTTTCTTAAACAAGTAACTGTATTTTGCAAATTACCGAGAATTGTGTTGAATCCATCTTACTCTTTCATTGAGAGGGTTGAATCAGGGGCCCCTTATCCTAGAATTAGACCTCTACTGTGTATATGCAACACAGTCCTTTCCTCAAAGAACTTATTATCTAAGTATAGATTATAACTATTCCAAGTATAAAAGGAAAGATAATAGGTGGATAAAACTAAGTCGAGTAAGCGTGAGGTTGGTTCTGATCCATGCAAGTAAACACCAGTCTTGCCTTACATGCATTACTACTATGCCCTTCACGCTGAGCTTTCTGGATGTTAGCTCCCATAGAGGTTAGAATGTTCAAAGGGATTGGTGATCTCTGGTTCAGTGAATCACTTCTAATTGTGAAAGCTGCCAAGAAAGAGACTACAAATGACCAGTTACTAATAATTAACAGCTGATTGTGAGCTAAGTGAGCCTGATGAATTTTGAAGAAATAGCTCTTTTTGTGTCTCTTCTGATTTTATAAATGGAATCGTACACACTGCCTTTCCACCAGTTGAAAACATCAGCTATTGTGTAAGTCGAGTTGCAGTACTTTTTTTAATAGGGGGGCTATTGAAAATACTTCATATCTAAATGTTAGTGATGGCATTGCTCTGGTTAAGGCAGATGGAGTTGCGCTTGCTTATGTTGGGGTTGAATTGGCCTAAACTTTTGTTGAGCAGAAATATTAAATGCACCCTCAGTCAAGAAGTCACTTTATGAGCTGAACAAAGCATTTTAGGTCCCATGTTGAGGAATTGAAGATTCTCAACAGTCTTCAGGCCCCTAAGATCTTTGACAAAGGGTAATGTCTACGCTACAGGACAAAGTCAAATTAAGATTTTGATGTTAATTGTGTAGCTGAAGTTGAGTAGCTTAACTCTGCTTTTGGTGCTGTCTACACTGTAGGAAGTAGAAGAAAGAACACTCTTCCTTCAACTTTTCTTATTCCTCATGAAAGCAGGGTTACTAGCATCAACTGGAGTCCCCCTCTCACTTTGAATTAGCTGTCTCAGACTGCTAATTCAAACCTTGGAAGATTGACAGCAGCAGCTTTGATCTTTCTCTGTAGTGTAGACGTACCCAAAGGTAGGAGCAAGTGCTGTAGAATCTTTTTTACCTCTAAACACATTATGTCTTTGATATATTTATCAGTTTGTTTACTCATAAGTAAAGCTTAGAATATTCCTGGTAGATTGCAAATTAAACAGAGACAATTCCTGCCCCCTCCCTTCTCCCTTTTGAAAACCCCCCTCCATGTATGTCTTGTAAGAATTTCTTTTAATCCTGGAAGTTTCCATTTGAATAAATAGAAGTTTATTAAAATCAGGCATGTCTTCTGATAAAATTGTCTCGTTTGTTTTCTCAGTTCTTAACATTTTATGTCTTGGCATTAAATTGTGAGAGTTGAGAAGTGGGTGAACACAGGTCAAATGTGAACAAAGATCTATTTTTCCTTTAATAAAATATTTCAGTGTAGAATATCATGAGTTAAATTAATTTCTGAAATGGTAAAGGAATCAAATGCTCTTTTAAAAAAAATTACCTTCTCGGCACTCTTATTTCTGTCATGGTGATTCCAACATGCTGCAACAATAATAGCAGAGATTATAGCTTGAAAACATTAAAATGTAACTATTTTAGTTACTGAAGAATATATCCTAGTTTCTGTGATCATATTGCCATGTTTTTCATTCTAATATAAATTTTTTTCCCTCGTGACATTGCAGCTAGCTGTACTTTAGACAGCCATAAATTCTAGTAACGATGTGGTCATGGATTCTAGCCAACCAAATTAATTAACAAATGGGGGGGAAAGTTGTTGTTTGAGGAATTGATTATTAACAGGAAAATGAGATTCCAGTTCCTCATTTAAGGACAGCTAAAGGATTTTAAAATTCCTCCCAACAGTGAGTTTCTTTGGAATTGCTGCTTTGATTCTAACTAATTTTTGTGGCATAGTTTGTATGGCAATATAAAAATGAATACGAATATATGTACAAGTACCAGTGTTTTAAAAGTACATTAATGGTTATTATCCAGGATGAGCTGTCTGGAAACGGGTAACAAAAGAGAGGGATCACATGAGGCTTGCCTGTTGTGTTCCCTACCTCAGGGGCATCTGGTATTGGCCACTGTCAGGAGACAGGACTAGATGGACCTTTGGTCTGATCCAGTTTGGCCGTTCTTATGTAGTTATAGCCTGAACCTCTTTTTCAATACCGTGCATTTTGAGATGATGATGATTTTACTTCTCTGGACAGTCTTTATAGTCAGGACCAGATCTGATGCTATTCTTAATGTAGAGCTTAATCCCATTTGAAGGCAGTAGAAACTACCAGCTCTTCCCTGTGAAAGTCAAGAGCAGACCCATAGACTGCTGACTACTTCCTGAATTTCCTATAATCAAGAAAATAGTGTTTAGCACATTTATTCATGCAGCAAAGTCCTTATCAGTGTAAATATATGTTATGGTTTTGGCAAATGTTTAAAAAATTAGCAAAATACCAATTTTGTGTGAAATATCAGTACTTTAAAAAAAACAGTTAGCTGTATCTAGCTATATGTGCAAATTCTCCTTGTGAATTTTAAAGTTAAACTATTTCATTAGTGTGGGTTTTTATTTTTACAGTCTAGCCTTGCATGTGAACTAATGGATCTTTTGTTGCATACATTTTCTTTTTTGTATCAGGGCTTTCAAACAAAACAAAGGCCTTTCTGTTGAGATTTTAAAACATATTCTTTTCATTTTTTGAATGGTCATCTGAGAACTGCTTACTTAACAAAAAGCTTTACTGTTTTGCAAAAGACTAAACAGTAGGATTAATTTTCTATGGTATTTAATTTGAAGTTTCCCATTTGGAATCTTTATGGTTTACAACATGCTCTCTTCCTGGGAAAGACGAGCATTTCTACAAATAATAATGTAGCTAAGTATGGATGCAATCCTGTCAGCTCCTGAGCTCCTCCTAAGAACTCATTAAACTTATGTTTCAGTGAAATAATCTGCACTTTACAAGATGACACTATGTAGTTTGCTTCAAGATGGCCCCTTGATTAACTGTTAAATGTATTTTTTTTCACACAGCATATTTCTTATTCAAGCAAGGAGTGCTAAACATAGCTATATTTCCCAAAGGATATGAAATAATATGATTTGAAAGAGCAGTGTACCATGGTAAAAATAGAATTGCATTACTAGTTAGTTTTATGTCAAAAAGTAATAGGATTCTCAGTGTTAACAGAATATTGTCACAGGATATGGTGACCTCCTGATGTTTGTGGAAAATTAATATAAGCTGAGGCAGAGGTATTATTTTGCAAAACTGGTAGCATTGTTGCAGGCATCAGGATTCTTTTACTGTGGTTTTTCAATTCTAAATTAAGAATTATTTTAATTTGCAATGTAAGATGTGTTAGAGTAACTGTTGGTATCTGTCATTGCAGACCTGATGGATTTAAAAAAAAGTGCCTGAGAATGTGTAAACTCTACAAATCTGAGGTGCAGGAACACATTCCACTGGCATAACTAAATATAAAAATCTTTCCTCTCCTCTAGATTCAGAGCACAGAGGGAGAAGCACCACATGTTCCAACTTCTCACCAGTTACCTTTGACCAAATCAAGAAGAGGTGAGTAGACTTCTAGTCCTTGGAGCCAGCGCAATCCTAAGAGTGTGTCTGGAAGTGCTGACTCGGGTATTTAAGCAATTATTTGCGCAATAATCTTCCGAAGGGGGGAAGAGGCCCTGCTTTTATGTTTAAAATCACAGAAAGTTATTGAAAAGTGGTTCCCCAAATTACAGGACACGAGGCACCCCTATAACCTCAATTATGGTTTGACTTTTGTACCATTGATGATGGTGTAGAAAAATTGAGATGATGGTTGAGGTTGTATGCTTTTTTCCCCCATCCAGATCTTGTAACTTAAGATTCCCATTTAAACTGAAATTATATTGTTTTAAAACTAAATTGTATGGTGTATCCAGATTTTTGCTATGATGCATTTGCTTTTTGACTACACGAAGGATCAATGCACTGCGTAATAAGAATGGTTTCCTGTATAGGTGCTGTAATATTCTCCATCATGCAGGTACAAGTGCACTGCCTATTCCTTCTCTGTTGTGGAAGGTAGAACAGGAAGAGAGAAGTAACAGAATTTGTCAGTTACCAACCTTTTTCACAATATCCCCATCGTAATTTCTTTCCTCGGTATTGTACACATGGTGTACCTGTCTATAAGTACATATGATATTTTACTACAATCTTCAGGTAAAAAGTGCTGTACAATTTGTATGGCAGAGATCTGATTTTTGGGGGGTGCGGGAGGGAAAGGTTCACTGTTTGTCAGGTCTTACTCAACATTGAAGGAAGTTCAAAGCCTTAGTAGCTGCATTTTTCCTGCCCAAAAACAATGTCTTCTAAGAGAAGAGGTGCCCTATTGATCTCCACTTACCCGAGGAAAAAATGTGCCCAAAGCCCTGTATAAACTTAGTGCTCAGGAAAGGTGCCTGGCAGCCCTGTCTATGGAAAATACCAGTCCTGTGGCTAGACAGGCATCATTGGCAACAGTCTCATATTGCCCCTTCTAGTGTGCTTCAACTCATGTCTGGGAATACCATGCATAGCAGTGAAAGAATAGTTAATTTTCCATGCCTTTTCATGTTCTTGGCTTAGTCTGCCAAAAAGGTACTGATTGTGATGGGAAGAGCTACTACCTACTAGAAAGTAGTCTGAGGGTAAACATTTATTTCCTATAGGGCACAAAATATCTGCCAAACCTCAGCAAAATTCAGTCCAATGAGCCAGAAGTGAAAGACACTTTGCTTCATTATCATACTACAAGCCAGCTACTTCCCTGTTTTGTTAAACATTTACCCATATTTTGAGTCAGTTCCATTTGTTTCCTCTTTTACAATGATGGCAAAACTGTCACCTTAATCATAAAAATTGAGACTGTTCTCAAACATTATTCTCTTTGTGTAAGAATCTTACAAGTCCATATCAATTGAAGTGAAGCTCCAAGAGAGAAAGCATTTATGTGACTAGTGATTATTGGGTGCTCAGATGAGACAAGGGGCCTGATTTCAGAGTGGGATTTAAGCACTCAACATATATGGAGACACTGAAAATTACTAGTTGCTTTGGAAAAAATATTGGCCAGTCTCTAAATTAGCATCTTGGTCTTGCTAGGGATCCCTTAGCTCAGTTCAGCTCTGAGTGGAAACCCTAGTCCTTTGTTACAATGTATTTGCTGTTAAGTATGTTAATATACACTAATCTGTTTCAGTCGCATGGTTTGATTGTGCATGAACCCAAACATAAATACATATTTCACATGTAGTCTTTAAAGATGTGGCCTGTATATTTTTTTCTGGAAGGCTATTTCTCTGTCCATGTACCAGGGTGGTGCTGCTTGGTATAGAATGTTATGAATTTGAGGTATAAAATAAGGTATTTATAATGACACTGTCCTTCCAAAAGGAGGGCCTGCTTTTGCTGACTTTAATTGCAGTTTGCAAGGCATTTTAAAGAGCGTCTACAGTAGAATGTACAGTATTCAAATAAAAAATGGGTGGTTCTCTTTTCTCTCCATTGAAAGTCTGAAGATAATTAAAACATTCCTAAACAATGCTGAATTCTACTGCAACCATTGTCTTCCACTAGCATGCATTTTTCATTTTTAAATAATGTTGTTTATAATAAATGGCAAGCTTATTGTTAAGTGGCTTGCAAAATATTGTTTTGCTATTAGTTTCTTAGTTTGTCAAACACTACATCATATCTCTAAAATGTGGTAAGACCAGTTTTTTGTACTTTTAAGGTCATATGTTGACCTAGTTTATCCAGTAGGCTCACAACTAGCATTTATTACTTAACTCCAAATGCTTTGCTTGTGGGTTTTTTGTTGATTGTTGAGAGAAAGGAAGATCTTTAGTTACTTTTGTGCTGTAAACATGAAGTGCTGTTAACTGTCCAGCATAAAAAGCTATTGCAAAGTTAGTGGGAAGGAAACTTGTTAGTTGGAAAACAAAATTTTTCATTTAATGATGACTTGCGTTTATGCAACAGTGACTTCTTTTCAGCACCTCCTAAATAGAGCTTCACAAATACAAGTTCTACATTTGGGGTGTAAAAGATATAACACTGTGTTTTCAGTGTCAAGTGATTTTTGAATACCCAGCTTTCGGTTCCTAGCTTTCAGAAGTTGAGTAGCCAGCTGTCAAATATCAGACCCTTTCAAGATGTCTCAAGTTTGGTAGGCAAAATCTTAAGTTGCTCTTGGAAATGAAGGCTAAATACGTAATGGATTAGTAGACTAGTAGTACACATTAACAGCAGCTCCATAGTTAAATCCTTTTGGTGTTTACTGCTCCAGGTAGGGGTGTCTGGATGTGTACACACATTATAGAAAAAGAGGCCTCAAATGTGGCTAGATATTTGGGGCAGTTGATGTTCATGCCCTCCACATGCTGTGATAGCCCTTCACTTTCCTTGAGGGAAGGCTTATCAGTGGTTATTGTAGCAGTGTGTCCTACTGACGCTACTTAGTGAGCATTATGGACCATGAACTGAGCTCGTCTCCCAGGCAAAGTCCGTAGAGTGCCACATGGGGGAAAAAGGCACCACTCTTACATCTAACTAGGGCACTTTCTGTGCATATCTGGAATATTGATATACAAGTTTGTTGCATTTGGGTTCTGTAGCATCCACCATGCAAAGCATTGCAGCAAGTAACCCAAATATTGCTAATGTTAACGAACAGATTCAATGCATTTCTTCCTCTTTTCTCTACCAGAAGAACAAACTCAGGCAGACGATAGCAGTAACCCAAATATTGCTAATGTTAACGAACAGATTCAATGCATTTCTTCCTCTTTTCTCTACCAGAAGAACAAACTCAGGCAGACGATAGCAGAAACATTATTGTGATGTTTAGGTAATCTGCCTTCAGTTGACTAAACTGTTGAAATAACGAGAATCCTTTTTTGTTGAGAGCCGAGTAGAGTAGGGGAGCATATAATTAATTTAATGAGTTATTAATTACTGTGCAATACATACATCAAATATAGACATGGTTATACAGGCTGCCCCTGACTTGTGAAGATATCAGCTCCGGGGATAGCGTCGCAAGTCGAGGGTGTCATAACTTGAGCCCGCATTTACGACAAGCATCATATGCCGGCATAAATGTGGAGCCAAGGACGTAAGTCAGGGGATTTTGGCCCCTTCCGCACTTACGGAAAAGGTCATAAGTGCAGGGAGTTGCAAATTGGGCTGTCATAAAGTGGGGGCCTCCTGTATATCAGGGACACCTGTATTCTCTTTTCTTCAGAGTTTTGTCAACCTAAATGTTTTTGAATGCATAAATTGCACTGGAATATTTTGAATATTTTAATAGTTTAGGTGATTTTGTTTTGTTAGTGTCATACCAGGCGTGCAGTGCAGTCCTTTCCTAGTTTAGTTAGAATGTGTGTGAACTGGTCAAATTTACCTGTTCATCATGACTGGCTGCTGCTCTTCCCAATTTCACTTTCGTAATCTCCTTATGGCCTCTTGCAATCTGTTGGGGCAGAGGTCCTTGTCAGACTTTCTGAAGAGAAAGTGCCTATGGTACAAAGCAAACAGTGGCGGTTGAATGAGCTTGACTGACATCCTCTACTTATTACAAATGACACTCATCTAAGCGTGCGAAAGGCCACTTAACTTAGAAGTGATTAACCCCAGTGAAGGGCAGGTGAACTGCCATGCTCCCTGATGTTCTGTGAAGGAAGGTATCTTTAAGCTTTCCAACAGAGGCAATGCATCTTTTCCACATCTAGTCATTCTCTTCATGAGCCAGCACTGCCCTTTTGGGGGCTGATTTGTTGACCTTCAGTTCTGATTCTGGAATGTAAATTGCAAACACCTGGTATGTTTGTCTCTTCCAGAAAAACTCACCAGTGCTGCGGATCTGTGACAGTTTATTCATGATCTGTTCAGTTCACTATGGCCTTTGCACCTTTCTCTAACCTGCATGAGCCCAATACGTGCTCCAGAATGGTAGAAAGGGAGGAGAATCTCTGAATTTGTATCAGAAACCCATCTGCAATTGTGAGGAGTTATCCTGTCTGTTAAAAATGCCTTTCCTCATTAATATAAAAATGTTCCCCCCAGAATGAAGTACATCTGTGAAATTGTCAGCACCAGTGAAATGAGAGAGAGGTGTTTTTACTCACCAAGTAGTTGCTGCGGAATGTTGAGAAATGCAACATAACAGAGAAGGTGATAAAAGTACTACCTGACTTTAACAATGTGCCTCTCTTAAAAAGCAGAAATAGGCTTTCAGGGTGTGACGTTGCGTTGGGGTTTCCCCGCCTCCTGCACCCCCGTAGTGGCACGAACAGACTCCACCAGTCGGTAGAATAGAGGGAGTTTATTACTTCTCCAGGATACAACACAGCATAGATGTAATCTGGCTACAGGGCAGGCCTAGGATGCCAGACCCCCCTTTGAGATGAGGGAGAATGGGCCCTTAAATCCCAGCCCCCTTGCTTAGGCTGCCTCCTCTGTGATTCCAGACAGAAACTCCCCAAATCTCTTCCAGCTCTGCCCCCCCCGCCAGGTGTTGGTCTCCACTCTCCTTCCTTTGTCTCTCTCCCTGGGAGGCTGAGCCTGGGTGTCTGGGTTAATACACATTTGGGAGAGTCAGTGAGAATCTCCCATCACAGCTCAGGGGGACCCCGGGTCACAAAGCAGACAGCCCCCCCACTCCGCCACACAGGGTCGTAAAGATTTAGTGTCCTGAGAAGTAAAAACTGAGGCAAAGGGCCAGGTGAATATTTTTCTCAAGAGGCAATAAAACTTAATGAAACAAGGACACATTAATGAATGCCTTTGTCTGAAATATTGGGAATCTATTCTAGCTCTTAGGGATGTAAGTGACTAGCATAAGCTTATTGGATAGTCGAGTAGTGACTCAACTAGTTGCCCCCCTGCCTCCTTGTTGCCTCTATCAGCAAGGGCACAGTGGGGAAATGGCATGAGCGGGGACTAAAGTAGTCCCCGCTTGCTCTGGTTCCCGCTGTGGCTGCTTCAGCCTTTGAAAGGTACAAGAGCCCCACGAGGCTCTTGTACATTTCAAAAGTAGACGCATTGCAGGGAGCAGGGGCAAGTGGGTATTGAGGCAGGGGCTCTTGTACATCTCAAGAACAATTGTCAACTATACAATTAGCATGATAACTGCATTTTAACATCCTTAATAGCTCTGATGTTCATAAGCAGCTTTATAAAAGAACAACCATACTAGTTTAGACAAATGGTCCATTTAGCCCAATATCCTATCTTCTGAAAGTTATGAATGCCAGGGGCTTCAAAGGGACTGAACAGAAAATATAATCGAGTGATCCATTCTGTGTTGCCCATTCTCCATTTCAGAGGCTAAGGACACGTCAGAGCATGGTTTTGCAGCCCTTTCCTCCTGACCAATAGCCATTAATGGATCTCCATAAATTTTTTATCTAGTTTGTTTTTGCAACTTCTTGTCTTGGCCTTCACAACACCCTCTGGCAAATAATTCCACAGGTAGACTGAGCATTGTATAAAGAAATACTTTTTTGTTCGTTTTAAACCTACTGCTTATTAATTTCATTTGTGACCCCCTAGTTCTTGTGTAATGAGATGAAGTAAAGAATACTTCCTTATTTACTTTCTCCACATGAGTCATGATTTTATAGATCTCTGTCATATCCTCGCTTAGTCATCTCTTTTCCAAGATGAAAATTACCAGTCTTACTAATGTCGTCTCTTATGGAAGTTATTTTATACCTCTAATAATTATTTTAGCCCTTCTCTGTACCTTTTCTAGTTTCAATGCATCTTTTTCGAGATGGGTCAACCACAAGTCAACACTTCTAGTAATGCTAGTGGGTGTGTGTGGTGTGTTTTGTGTGTTTGCTCCTGCCAGTTGAAAGTTGCAGGAGTATATATTTGACATTTAAAAATCACTAGAAAATGTTTGCAGGTTTTGCCAGGTGCAGCGTTGACATTTGCCTGCATGTATTGAAAATCAATGCTCAAGTTTACGAAGGGGTAGGGGTAGAAATTGTGCTGGTGCTTTGGCACGATTGCATCTTATGTAGCATGACTCTTATCTATATATTTGAGAGTTTGTCCATGAACAAATGAGTCTGTCCATTTGTTCAAGAACTCCTCCTAAATGGTAAGAGCTAGGATCACCAAATTTGGTGTACAGCTCCTTCTTATCATAATTTAGAGCAAGGAAAGGGTTTGGTGTGGGAAGACATGGGACTGAGGCTCCCCCTCCCGCATGTGTACGGGGATGTATAAAACCATACAATAAAAGAGAGAATTAACATGCAGGTGAAAGGGGCAAGCTTGGAGTACACAATCCTCCCTCTCCCCCCATCTGGGACTGCAGTAGCCCCGAGCCTCCACCCCCTAGGAGTCCTTTACGGAGGGCATGAAGGGGCTGCCTCTTCCCCTACCCCTATTCATATGGGAACATTGCTGACTGTTCCCATTTAGAGTGTGAGGGGAAAGTGCACAGTTTGCTCCATTTTTCAGTGTTGCTGGGGAGTGCAGGGGATGGATGGACCCTGGACCCGCCCCAGCCTGGCCATGTCTGCTAAAGCTGCAGAGGCCAGGAAGAGACGCTTCTTACCTAGCCATAAGCTGCTGCAGTGAGAGAAAGCTGTGGTAGTTCCCTCTCTTTTGGGCAGCCTGCATACTGGCCCCCTCATGTCCAGCCCCTCCCCAGAGCAGTGATTCAAATGAAGAAAAACAAACATTGAGTTAAGAAGCCAAACAGCATCAGGTAAATCTTCTAGTAGATGTATAAAGTTCAATACTGTAGAACTGTTATGAAATGTACAGTGGGTGTCTGCCACAAAACTTGCAGAGTTCAAAGTTACTACCCATTTCTTTGTATGCATCTTATCTGAACCAGGAAGACTTCATTGTAATCTTACATTTTAAGATTAGATAGCATGATTTCATGCAACAGTAAAAGACAGTCATTCCAGGGCATGGTAGTTACCAAGATAACAGGGAGTGTCTTTGGGTTGTGCTGAGGTTGTACAGAACTGAGTGAAACAATTGATGCAAAAATTTAAAAAGGCACTTTGCCTATTTTCTAGTTCATGGAGTTTCTGTGAACATGCAGTGTTGTTTAGCAATTTATTTTTGCATTAAATTTATTTTCATTAAAATTAATAAAGCATTGTGCTTGTCAGGGTATCTAGCACTTCTGAAGCTGCTTTTGTTATATGTTTCGGTGTTGAGTTTTGAACTAGAATTTGTTCTGTGATAGCAGTTGGATGACTGGAAGTCACAAAATGAGATTCTGTTCCCTACCTCAAAGCATACATCTGTTCTGGAATAACTCATGGCATGGTCATGGCTGGCTCAGGTCAGCTGACTGGGGCTTGAACGTGGGGCTAAAAAGTGCTGTATGGATGTTTTGGGCTTGGGCTGGAGCCCAAGCTCTGGAATCTGTCCCTCTCATTGGGGCTGAGAGCTCACATCCAAGTGTTTACAGAGCAGTTTTACAGCTCCACAGCCTGAGACCTGAGAGCCAGAGGCAGTTGATTTGGGCAAGTCACGGGTGTTTTATTGCTATGTAGAAATACCCGAAGGAGCATTGTACAGGGTTCTCAGCCTGTGAGTTTTCCAAGGGTTGAGGAAGCCTACAAGCTTGTGTATAGTGGTCTCTTTACAATGCCCTCTGGGCACTGGTGCTGTCTGAAATCTCTGCAGTGTCTCATGTTGCAAGCCCACCGTCCTCACTGCCCCCAAAACTGCCTTTGTTGTTCTTGCACCAGGGGAATCTTTCAGTCTCTTAGCCTCTGTTGTTACTCCAGCTCAGCTACCTGGAGTAAAGAGAACAGGGATGAGGCAAAGGAACATGAATGAGGATCTTGTCTTTTGTGCATAGACTGATCCCCCCGATTGGCAGGGCCTTTTTCCCAGACTACATTTTGTGTATGTGCACTTTGAGCCTGTTGTGGATAAAACCAGATCTAGGGTCTAGCTTTTTTTCAGAGGCCTGATGACCACCTGCAAAGGGCCTAGTGTGTTTGACCTTTGCTGATCCTTGCCGAAATGTGCAGTTTTATGACTGTTTTATTGCCCTCAGCTCCCTGAAGTCTGGTCTAGAGTGAGAGAGACTGGAGGGAGGGTAGTGATCTCCAGTATTGTCTCCCTTCCCCTGTCACTGGAGGAGGGAATAGACCAGCCATCTGCTGCAGCTGTTGGGTGGAAAGGGGGACGTGCAGCAAACCTATGGACTGCATGTGTATCTGAGTGGTCAATGGCTCAGCTTTGGGGAAAGAACCTTGGAAAAAGTAAAGGGTAAATATCAGCAGCATAGTGCATTTTTCTCATCATCTCCATAGGTGTAAAAGATGGGCAGTATCTCAGGGCTAGTCAGCATTTCCCGAGGAGCACATTTTTTGAGAGGCTTTTGTACTTTTTCATGAGTCAAAGCAAAAATCCCAAACAAACCACAAATCAAAAAACCCACATGCTGTCCCCAAATGTTGCTCTCTGTGAGATACCATTTGGAAATGATCATTCTATTTCTGACTTTAAGGCACCTATCGCCTTGGTATCTCAGCATAGCATAGCGATAATGTGTTTTGATTTAAAATGTTGTTACAGTTCCCATCTCTTGGTCCAGCAAGGGCACTCACTCTTGGCTCCTCAGTCATCCCCTCTCTTGGGCAAAAACCCACATCTTTCTTCCTGCAGGCGGGGTGTGAACGGTCCACAGTTCTCTAGTTACACTGTGATATTCTCAATATACCAGACTGCATAGACAGGGCAGCATCTGTACTTCACTCTCTCTTGGAAGGCTATGAACAGCAGTGATTGCCCAAAGTTACAAGTTACCACACGTCTCTTTCTAAGCAAGCACATTTATTCTTAAGGTGGACGAATGCAGAGAAAACCTATTAAAAACAATAGTGGAAATTGCAGGCATGGTAATAAGCTCATTAGAAATTACCCCAAACTCCTCTACCAAGGGCTTAGTCCCCACAAAGGGTTTTTTCAGTATCTTACCAGCTCAAAACCACTTGAGCTTAGAACATGCACACCCATGAATAGGTTAGTCTTTCCTCAATGCTGTTTGGGCCTTTGATCTTGAAACTCCATAATCAGTAGACAATAATCCTCTCCTCAGGGCACAGTTTCCAAAGGTTGGGTTTTTGCGTAGCTGGAGGATTGTTGGCAATTTGCAGTCACTTCCCTCTAGAAATTACCAAGAAAATCTCTTGACCCTCTTTGTCCAAAAAATCCATTATTGTCTGGCATATTGTTCAATATCCTTTGACATTTATACCATTTTCAGAGTTGACACCCCGTCTCCCTCCTAGAGGTTAAATACAATCCCAGTCTACCATTCATTTAATACAATGGACCCCAAAAGATAAAATGAATTGAATAAAATCTCCCAAGGGTATTGCTGGAAATTGCCAAATCTGTCTCAAACTTATTATCTCTTGTTGTTTTCCTTTACAGATCATCTGTTGCGAACTGCTAGTCAGCATTCTGATAGCAGTGGCTTTGCCGAAGATTCTTCTACAGATTGCTCACTTAGTCACCTTCAGGTAAGCTGCTCGTAGATTCTAGCACGTTGAGTTTCTCATCCATGTCGCTACGCAGTCCCAGACAGTGAGCCTCCAAGATGGGATCCGCAGACTTACGCTTGTGGTGCTTGCCAAAGAGAGCTGTGTAGACATTTTGCTTTGGCCTCTGAAGCCTCAGGAAGGGGTTTCTGTGTAGCTATTTTGAATGCTGTAGTGCAAGCCCAAGTCTGTTGATTCAGGCTAGGAAGCTCAGTGCTATGAGCTATGTAACTGTACCCCTAGAGGCCACAGTAATATGAATACTAAATAATGATGATAACTTTGAGATTGGAGAAGTGGATGATGATGATTGTGATACTGATTGGTTTTGTTCTAATCTTTCTGACCAGCCTTGGATCCTGACAGGATTTTCCATTTCTGGTCTTCTTTAGCTTTGCGTTAACTTTTTAAAAGTCTTCTAGATGTATGTTCTGATCTGAATTATTTGGGGCCTGGGATAAGCTTTAAGTTCTGTATATTTCCTGTTTGTTTGTTTGTTTTTGTTTTGTTTGGTAAGCCTTTGCTCGCTGACTGAGCCTTTAAAACTGCTTTTCCTTCTTTCCTAATATCAAGTGGGTAAAGATAAATAGGAAAATATTTTTTTCTGCTAATCATTCAATTTTCATGTTTTATGTCCCACCTGACTGGGGTAAATCAAGAGTAAATTGATGCTTTATGTTGGATTAAGAGATCTGTGCTGGCTGGCAAGCTAGTTAGAAAACCTGTCTAAGGTACCATGTACTCTGCTAAATAAAACTTTGTAACTAAGTTTTGAGAGGCCTAGATAGACTTACTTTCGAAAGTGCATATCTTCTTCCAATCACTTTTTCGAAAGAGGTTCTATCGAAAAAGAAAGTAGTCTAGACGCAGTTCTTTCATGGAAAAAACCCTTTTTCAAAAGAACCGTTCTTCCTAAAAAAATTAAAAAAAAAATAAAATTGTATACAGTTCTTTTGAAAAAGGGTTTTTTGTCTAAAGAACACGTCTAGACTTTCTTTTTGAAAAGAACCTCTTTTGAAAAAGTGATCCG